TTATGTTATGTAGGGTGGTTTCCCTCAGTTAGTAAACACAAAAGAAGCTAATACAGTGAATGTGATAAAAATAAATTATATATATGCAACATTTTTCAGATAATTAACTAATAAAAAAGAACTATAGGGCTGGAGAGATGGCTCGGTGGTAAAGAGCACGTGTTGTTTTTGCAGAGGACCCCAGCTCAGTTCCCAGCACCTACATGATGGCTCGCAACTATCTGTTAACTTCAATTCCAGGGATCAGATGCCCTCTTCTGGCTTCCAGAGGCACCACGCACACACATGGTACATACACATATAAGCAAACAAACATTATTACACACAAAATGGAAATAAATGAATCCTTAAGGATAAAGAGTTCTGCCTTTTCTGGGATCCTAGAGTAGAAATGAACGACTAAATTAAAAAGAATGTGTTTGACATCATTAGCCCTTATGGAAATGCAAATAAGTATCACAGTAAAAATATTATCCCATTGCCACTAGCCTAGCTATCAGAAAAAGACAAGGATATAAAGGAGTTATAACTCATGCTTTAGTGGTGGGAGTATAAGATGATATGGCCCCTTTGGAAAAGAGTTTGGCAGCTCTTTACACAAATTAAATATAATTTGATATTGTAATTCTAGTTCTAAGTATTTACTACCCAAGAAATTTGAAAATGTGTGTTCATGAAAAAGCTTACAGATGACTCTTGCAGCAACATAAATCAACAATGGGGATGAACCTGAAAACAGTATGCTAAATGGAAAAAGTCAGACCCAAAAGCAGATATTTTATAATTCTGCTTATGGGAAATTTTCTCTGTGAAAAAATCCACAGATGAAAAAAAATGGATTAGTAGTCATCAAGTTCTGGAAGAGAAATAAATGAAATCTGGCTACTAACAGCCATGTGTTTTTAGGGTGGGGTTAGAGTGGAGGGAGGCTAATAAGAGGATTTTGGAATTGGACAGTACTGATTCTGCAGCTTTGTAAATACAGTGAAAGCAATGCAATAGTAGGAAAAGAGTGAATTTTATGATAAGCAAGTTATATGCCAATCTTTAAAACCTTGTGACTATCATGAGCTGCTTATCAAGGGGTAATAAGCATGAGAGCAGCAACCTGGGCAGGACTTTCAGCTGCATCAAACACAGAGCTTTCAAGTTTCATGTGAATAAGGGAGCCATTCTGAAGAAAGCATCTCTTTCCCAGAGAGTAAGCCTCGGGAAGCAATGACAACATAAGCCCATCCTAGAGATGACTAGGTCACAAAGTAGATGGCATCTCTAACTGTGGTCTCGCCCCAAATATAGAAACATTCTCCAAATGAATTTCTTTTGATTAGCTTTGAAATATTAAAACAACAACAACAACAACAACAAAATCAGTTTACAGCTAACCCCATAAAGACACTCTGCCAATCAAATAGATCAAGACATGGATTTCCAGACTAGCTCATGTTCTGTAGGGTTAGAGCCTATGGAGCTCGGAGACAGGGAAGTTCACATCCCCCTAAACTTATCCCCAAATGCCAGATGTCTCAACCCTGCATTTGGCAAGGATTAGAGGGCATAATGAGTTCTGATTTGTACTGTTCATTAAATACGTGCACATATGTTTTTGATAGTATAGGTAGAAGTCAATATGCTGTCAAAGGAACTCAGAGCCTTGATTTATGCCCTTGTCTAAACAGCAAAGCGCTGTGCTTCCCGCCTGGGGTGAACTCTGGAAGAACCTACAGATGATAGTAAGTCTTCAGATTCAACAAAAACACCGCCCCCCCCCCCCCCCACTCAGACAAACACTTAATCACGGGTCTGCCATTTTTGCTCTAAGACATCGACTGCAGAATCCGAGTCTGAAAAAAAGAACTCGCACATCTTTTTAATCAACAGCTTTTACCAGAAATATGGCGCATAATCCCTGAAAATACATCACTTGGCACAGAAATGAGGTTTTTTATGAAATAGTTCTAAAATGTACCCACTGAAGTCAACGAATACCCCTTTCATAGGAAGGGTGAGTTAGTTCTGAATGTTATCAGTGCCTTTTTGCAATCTGTGCTTACATAATGAATCCTCTCAAGGATTAGAGCTGAATAGTTCTTATATGCTTTTTTGAGGTTGTTTTTATTTTTATTTTTTACTTATTAATATTTACTTGCTCAAATTTATTTTTATTTTTTAAATTTATTTTTTATTTATTACAGTTTATTCATTTTGTATCCCATCTGTATCCTCCTCCCTCCTTCCCTCCCTCTTCTCTTCCCATACCCCTTCCCCAGTCCACTGATAGGGTAGGACCTCCCCCACTTCCATTTGGCCCTAGCCCATCAGGTCTCATCAGGACTGGCTGCATTGTCTTCCTCTTTGACCTGGTAAGGCTGCCTCCCCTCAAGGGGAGGAGATCAAAGAGCCAACCGCTGAGTTCATGTCAGAGACAGCTCCTCTTCCCCTTACTAAGGAAACCACTTGGAGACTGAGATGTTTTATTTGTAATAGCCAGAATCTGGAAACAACCTAGCTGTCCCTCAACTGAGGAATGGATACAGAAATTATGGTACATTTACACAGTGGAATACTACTCAGCAATTAAAACCAAGGATGAAATCTGCAGTCAAGGACTTTGACTCAGAGATGAAGGCTGTGTGAGATTGCTTGTGGCATCAGTAGCAGAAGTACAAATTTGTACAACACCACTAGTCTCCAGAGACCCAGGAAACAGCAGCGTTCCAAGCAGCCCATCCTTACACCAGGAACGCGACCTCACTTGCTCTTATCTTCATTCTTTGCCTATTCTACTTCTCTATATATCTGTCATCCATAAGAGCCACGAACATAAATTGACAAGTACATCTGAAGCCAGTCTCAGATGACCTGATATTCTTTATCTGTTTATCCATGAACTCAGTCAATAATTAAAGCTTTTTGACTATATTTCTACCTCATAGTCTCCTTGACTTTCAGTAAAATAAAAGAATGAAAAATGAAAATATCCATATATCTATTGGGTCTTTAAATATCTAAAGTACTAACCTTTCATTTTCATTTTGGAGACGATAAAATAGGGGAAATCGAATAAGGGAACTTGTTTGCAGAGAACTTCTGCAGACTCAGCTGCCCTTGAGGCTTACAACAGGATAAAGTTAAACTTGAGGCAATCCTTCCATCTCTACTTCCCTGGTGTTGGGATAGCAGGTACTCACTATCATATCGGTTAAAGATTTAAAAATAACAAATCTCATATGCAATAAAAAGTAGAAATAACCCAAATGTCTGAAGGGATAATTAAACGTAGCATAACACTTGAAGTGTGGCTAAGAGGTCTGAGTGTGGTAGACCAAGTCAACAAAATATTATTTAGCTAAGAACAATAATGAAGAGTTGGTACATAGTGTAACGGAGGTGACTGAGAATATTATCTAGACAAAAAAAAATCACATGCTATGTGCTTCCTTATCAAAACATCCTAAATAGGAGTGAAATGCATAGAGGTGGAAAGCAAAGGAATGATTTACTGGGTTCAGAGGACAACTGAGAGTGACTATGTATGAATACATAGTTTCCTTTTGTGGTGATAAAAGCGCTATAGACCTACACAACAGAGACAGTTGAATATGCCAAATGCCACTGAAATAGGAAAATTTGTTATACGAATTTTAGCTCAGTGAAAATCCAATATGCAAGAAATGCAAAAAGAAAAATGAAGTGCGACATTCAAGAGAGGATCTCTTCTATTTGCAGTTAAACAGTTACATTTAAGGTGGCTTGTCAAAACTGTTGTTCTCGTTGCAAACCTTTGCAGGTCTGACTTCGCCTCAGAGTTCTCAGTAGATCTAAGTCTCATTATATAATTGAATTTTCTTATTAAGCAAGACCCCTATGTCTTGGTGAGAGAACCAAGATAAGCACTTTCAAGGGGGTTTCATTTGTCTAATCAAAATCATATCCCATTTCATTTAGACACAATAAAGAAATTGTAAAAATGGATGATAATCTAATGGATCGTGACAGCTATAATTTTTCTAATGCTGGAAAGAATTAAAATTCTTCTATTATAAATTAGTACCAGCTACTCAAATTTCCAAAGATGTGGTTCTTTACATGGAAGAAAATGGCTCAAGATGTTAGCAGTGATATGATTCCTCAAACTAGGATAGCAAAAAAGTACAGCTAGGTGCTGAGTTGAACGGCTCATTATTGTAAACGGTCTTCAGTTGCCCAGTGGATCCTGGAAAGTGCCATAAACTCTGGCTTTAAGTCTAGAATTACATGACCCCCTTATCTTTCATTTTTCTCATTTCTATGTTTACACTCGAATCTCACATCTTACTACCACAATAAATCAAAATGCCATAGAAGTAACATAACAGACATGTATGTGTGCATCATCCTTTATGTGCTCTGTGATGATACAGAAGACTGCTATCTGGTGCCGAAGGACTTGGAACACAACACTTCATGAAGCAGCGCGCCTGCGTGTTTCAGAGCATCCATTTCAGTCTGGGTATGTAAAAGCCAGGTGAGGCTTCCCATTCCGCTAAAAAGCAAAACTGGTGAATTACCCCTTGATCCATCTTTCCTGTATTACTTAGGATAAATAGAAATACCAGCAGCTTCGACTTCTATTTTTCAACATTTTTTTAAATGTATGTGTATTGCTTAAAAAGAAATTTCTAATATCTCAAGGGAAGGCACATGAAGAGTTTTCCATCCAGGTTCCACAGAAGAGAGAATCTTAATGCTTTTATAAATAGTGAGACGTATTCCATTTCAGAAGTGCTTAAAAATACAATTACTTCATTTACTTTTGAGGCTTCATCATAACAGGTTTGCAGCCCACACTCTTCTGAGCAGGTGCCTAGAATTAAATAAGTTCCTCACGCCGGATTTATTACTAGGGCTTTGGAGAGTTCTTATTTTCCAGTTCTACATCATTCATAAGGAAGATATTATTGCTAACGTCCGCAGAGCCCTCTGAGAAACTCATCAGTGCTACAAACTACTGACCTTACCCTAAACCCATCTGCCTGCACGCCAGCTGACTCAACGTCTCCTGCCAGCCGTCAGCGCACACGTGGTGTTCTGTTGCAGATCTGTGAACAGTCAGGAATGAGGAGGAGTTCCCATTTTTAGAGAGGGTCACTGAGGAGAAAAAAAAAATTTGAGAAAGCCTAATTGAAAACACTTCTTCTCCTGAGACCATAAGTTCGATGCCTTTGCTTTGATTACATACATTCATTCGTATTTATTTTAGTTGAGAACCATTTGGGGCTGACCCGCTATGCGCAAATCACTGCCCCTGCAGTGTGACAGGAGACTAAAAAAAGTGAATTAGATATGTGCTCTGCTTTCAAAGCACTGCAGAGTCTAATGAAAGAGGCAAGCAGTTCTCAACTTTTCCTTAGGAGATACAAGATGGCCAAAGGCAGAGCCCCACTGCCTTGAATATACCCAGAGATTAGCTGAGCTAGATGTGAGGAGCGATTTGAAACTCCTTACATTTTTTTTTTCTGAGGGTGAGTGCTAATTTAGGATTGATGTGCCATAGGCACAAATCCCATAAATCCTCTGCACTGCTCAGCCACAGGTCATTTGTGGAACACTGTGTACCTGATCACATCACACAGGAAACCTGTTATTTGGCCAGAGGATACAAGAGACTAAGGTAGGAACTGAGGGAACTAGCAGAGCGATGTGTGCAGAATGAGGGGATCAATCCGATCATCAAGATTACGAGCTGTCACACTGGCTGAAGTGCCTTTAAGTCCTGCCCATGGCAAAAACTAGACGGTTAGAAATCCCATCTGGATGAGGAGTAAGGCATACAGCAGATGAAGAAGGCCCTTCCATGTTGTCTTCTAGGGGATGTAAATCACCCAAGAATGACTGATTATTCACCACAATTGAACTTGGGTGATACATAAAATTTATGTCCAAAAATGACATCTTTACAAGCATTTGAATGCAAAACGTTATGCATATAATATAGACATTTCAAACAGAGAAGTAACTTGGGGGCAAATTTTCTTTTACTTAGAAATAATACCCATGAATCACCACTGTCAGCTTTTATAACAGTAAAACAAAATAGATGGACTTGGTTGGTAAAACCCATGAACTCATTTAGGATTCATTTAGCTTAAATGGTTGATGGGCATGTAAATGTCGGGCAGATGGCAGGCACCAGAAGCTTACCACAGTCCCATTCATCTGAACTGTCTGAGCAATCGGCCCCTCCATCACACCACAGGTCACGTGGTACACACTCATGGTTGGCACATTCCAGCTCGTCATCCTGGCAAAATGCTGGCAGGGGGACCAAGAGGAAGAAGATGGAAGTGTTTAAGAAAGCAGACTCTGTTCACATAGATAGATGGCTTTTGAGGGATCCTGCTATTAAATTACTCTCTGAGTCACATATAAATCTCTTTTGGATTTTTAAAATTATAGTAAATCTCCTTGATTGCCTACTTAGCATCCATTTCCCTTCTTCCTTCCGTGAAAAGGAAACCTGATTTTTGTCCAGGGCTTTGTACCAACCATCCCTAGTCCCAGAGGAGGATCTTGATTAGTTTACCATCGGCATGGCATTTTTTTTTTCTGACAATTCTTATCTGAGAGTAATTATTAGTCCAGAATTAAACATGATTCCACAACAGACCCTCGGTCTATGATTTTATGATTTATGCATTGCAAAATAGCATCCACCCAAAGTCTGCTGGCCATGCCACGTGCCTTAGCCTGGAACCAGGCCAGCCTGGAGCAGACAACATCTCCTAATCCCTGCTGGGGCTGTGCTTTGAGTGTTTGTAGAGAGTTCTTTCCTAATCCACACAAAAGTCCCTTGCTACAGGCTGTGACTCTGCCCAGTGTTGACCCATGGGGACCCTTTAGCAATAGTCCAGAGAAAGGGGCACAGTCCTCCCTTCTTCCTATGGAATATGGTCAAGACAGCTCATCCACCCAGATGCTCTTTGCTCTTGACCATCCAGCCTGAGGTCAAGCTAAAATGAAGGAGTCACAAACAAGATGATGTAAATCTACCAGAACCTCATGAATTCATTCTGCGTTTACTTTTACTATAATAATATGAGACATGTATGATATGCATAATAATAAATGTCTTCATAATAATAAATGCCTTCTCTTTTCCTTAGTTTGAGTGGCGCTTTCTCTTACTTATAAGTAAAATATCTTAAGAAAAAAATTAACTAATTCTAAAGATAATGGCTGTATGTCATTTAGACATAAAAGATTTCAAAATCTCAACACTTAATCACAAGATAACTGTAAACTTTTTATGATCTTCTGATGTTTTTCTTTATTTACATATATATATGTATGTATAGATATATATTTAAAACTCAGCACAACAGTGCACATCCAATTTTTTAATTTCTATTATTAGCCTGCTAAGTTTTGGATAAGTGTCCTTTGAAGCCTATTTCTTAAGGGTTTAGTCTCAAGCCTATGATGCTATTGGAAAGCTGGGAAGTACTTTTAAAAAGAGAAAAGGTGTGAGGGACATCTAGCAGTCAGTGAAGGTGGGACCTTGATGTATATGGTAGAACCATGTCTTCTTTCTCTCTAAGACACAGCCTTGAAGTTAACATGCTTCTGTTGTTTCCTCTCCTCCATGAACCACAGGTTCAAAAGCAATAAGTCTAAATCATGGACTGAAAGATTGCCAAACTCTAAGCCAAAATAAATCCAACTTTTAAAATTGATTTCCTTGGGTATCCTGTGAACTAATAAGAAACCAACTAACTATATCATCAACTAAAGCTAGATAATGAACCCAGGTCAAATTATTCTTCTATAGTTTGAGTTTGATGTTGACATGGTGTTTCATCTTATGGTTGCATTTTATGCATTCCAATTTTGGATACTGGGAGGAGGTATTTTAATGTTTCCATATTGTTAAAATAATATACGTATGTATTTTGAAAACATTAGTCTGTCTAGGTCAAAAGAGCTAAACTCTTTTAATATGTATTTCCAAATTTCCTAGCTTACATTTAAAAGGAGGCAATGGGTATTTAAAATAAAGAACACTGTTAACGAATGCACTTACAGCAGTTTTTTTCATCCATGCCATACGGGCAGTCTGGAAACCCATCACAGATTAGAGTGTGCTTCAGACATTGCTTGTTGAATGGACATTCCCAAAGGTCTCTTTCTTCACAACCTGGAAACAGAAAAAAGAGCTATTGGCAATAGCTGCACAGCTGAAAATGATGGTAAAATTTAATTAAATAGGGTAAAAAGAAAAACTTCAGCATGACGGTACAATTTCATCTTGAAGAGTTTGGACATCTATGATTACTATGAATAATGCAATTTTGAAAGTAGGAATGTCCAGTAGTCTCCATTCTGCACTGCAAAAAGAACAGCTCTACTACCACAAGATCCAAATCAACATACGGGAAACGGAAAAAGTGAAAAAGCAGCTACGCATTAGCATCCTTCCTGAGCTGTTCCTTTTGCTTTCTGAGTCAATTTGCCAGCATGCAAGGCTGAGCTGTAAAGCAACTTACCCTTCAAGCAAACATGCCAAAACCTAAATATGGAAATGTGTGCAATCTTAAAATGTAATTTCAGTCTGCAAACTGAGGGACCATCTGTGTGTTTCATAAAAGACGCCCCTCGTATGTTAAGTACCTACAAGGTTCATTTAAGAGCCAGGTGCAAAAGCCGTTACTTTTTGATGGCCAGAGATCTGAGAGAGCTCAGGTTGGAAACCTCACCGGTTAGTACGGATTAGTCAGGACTGTGAACTTACAACCTGGACTTCAGTTTCCCTTCGAGGAGCAAGTCCTTAGACTACACTTAGACTATCCATCATTTGATTAAGTGCAATGTGTTTGAATGTCTTCTAAGATATGCCAAGATTCTACTGCAACTAGATGCCTCAGAAGATCCATAGTCCTCACCATAATGTAAGGGTGGGAAAGAAAAGATTTCGCAGCTTTGAACTTTTATGCGTTTTGGGCTTTTCAATTATTTCACTGAGTGGCCAAGTTTGTCCTCAAACAAGATCCACCTGTCTGATTATAGACAAGTGCTCCCTTGACCTTTCTAATATCTCTCATTTTTCCTAGAACGGTGGTTAGTTCATGGTAGACCTTCATAGTTAATTCATATGCAATTTCACTTCATCTAAAGAACGAAAAACTCTGGTTCCCAGGAAAATATAATTTAAGATATTTAAATTGCAAAGCAGTGACCAAATAAGGATATTCTTTTAAAGACTATCTTTGTGATAGTTCCCACAGACCCATCAGAAAGAATTCAGAGACATCTCATGGATGATTAACTCAGGATGCTTGGCATCCATTATGAGAAAAAAAAATCTCACTGTTAAAAATGGTCATTCAAAGTATAGAGCAAAATATTTCACCGGAATAGAAATTTTGCTGAGCTAAAATTAAGTTTAGAGTGTTTTATCAACCATATTTGTGAGAGATAAATGGCAAGAGTCCTTGACTGTCTGCTAACCTGGAGTGGCCTTAGGTCCAGATGTTGATTCAATGAACTCGTGCTCATGATGGTTGGAGTTTTCAGATGGCAGAGGATGAATGTCAACCCTAAACACAACATTATGGTCTTGTCCTCTAGGGTTGCAAAAAAGGAACCTGCAAACTGCCAATAGCCTAAACTTCTCATTCAACCAGAGGGCAGAGAAAACACAATAGGTATGACTTTTGTTGTTGTTGAGAAACTACTATACTTGGGGACAAGAGAAAGAAGCCTGAAGCCTGATGCAAAGAAACCTTTGAAATGCATGGAGAATCTGTACACATGGAAAGGACTAATATAAAACAAACCCAGGAACAGGTCACTGGGCGTAAGTTCTTCTGTAGTGTGTGCTCATCAACAGTACTCACTATGAGAGGCAATGGCATTCGTCATCTGCTGTTTATCTGCATTCTGCAAACTTAGATGTGTATTCTGTGAGCATTTTGATTCCTTTTGCACACTTGTGCAGCTAATCATCTCTTGGGGATAAAGGTAGTAAGAACAGAGGAAATAAATGAAAGGAGGTCATGACATTGGTCACGTCAAAGATAGTATTATTGGTGAAGAAACCACTTTGTCTATACAGTGACATTTTTGAAGTAAGTATAAGTTTAATGTCTGTTCTAAAAGCAAAGTGCAAGACTCCTTAAGAGCAGATATGGATAAGACAGGATATTTCATGCACCTTTAAGTTGTGATACCAAATAACAGAGGTTGTTCTAACAACAGTGGTCCAACACAGGAAAAACAGCAAGGTACACCAAAGGAGGCAAGATACCAAGTCCTGATTTGCCCAGAACCTTCTAGTTTGAGTACCAAATGTTCTTTGTTCCCAGGCAAACTGGCATGGCTAGTTACTTTAAACGGGGTTAGCACTCTGTTCACTATGTTTAGTGAATTCACTGCTCACTACACCTCTCATTTTTGCTGACACTTTATGAAAGACACTTCTATGACAGAGCCAGACTCTACCTGGACTCAGCACCTGGTTTCTCTACCAAAAGAAAATTGTTATAGCAAAGACAATGAATCATTCTCTCTCTCTCTCTCTCTTCCTCTCTCTCTCTCTCTCTCTCTCTCTCTGTGTGTGTGTGTGTGTGTGTGTGTGTGTGTGTGTGTGTGTATGTGTGCATTCAGCTGGTAGAGATCACCTTATGGTATCCAAGAAGTACAAAGTAGGCACAGAAACATGACACAATAGCCAGAACATAGCCACCCAAAATAGACTTCTAATGACTCACTTCCTCCAATGAGCCCCATCTTCCAAAGTGTCTGTTACCTGCCATTAATGTCATTGAATTATAACTGGATACATGGGTTAATCTACAGATTGGGTTAGGCTCATCACGATCCAATGTTCTCTCAGTGAGCTGTTCTACTAGCCAGGGATCAATATCCATATCATAACCCTAACACAGATACTTCTATGACACTTCATATCCAAAGCATAATCCTAAAGCTGATATTCTTGCTGCATAAAAATCTTAGTTATGCAAATATGAGGTCCACTCATTTTCCTAAATGCAAGAAATAAAACCCACCTCACCCTTCAGACAAGAGCTGCTAGCAAGGGGAAAGGAGAAAATGTGCTTCTGGGTTTTTGAGCCACTAAAAGGTAAAGCAGTTTAGATCCAGAAACCATGGGCCAGAATCTGCCCCAGGAAAGGACTGTGGATGTAATCTTACGGTGAATCACGTGAGCAGGAACAGCTTGTACTCAGTGTAGCAGGTATGAAGATCCTGCAAGAATGTGGATAATCCTGACTCCTCCCCAGTACTCATCCTAGCAGTCAGCATAGATGGCCTCCATCCCTTCTGGGCTCTAGGCATTGACCATCGTGAGCAACAGCACAGGTCCTACAGCTTTGACCTACATGTTTAGTCTTGGCGGGTTTACCAATTCTTCTCTTTCCTAGGGGGACACACTTCACATCCTCTTTAGAGCATAGTGGCTTAATGCCCCAGGAAGAGAGAATAGTAAGGCTTTAACCATAGTCTGAGGATCCCTGTCAATGACTGAGATTCTGGAAACAGAATCACCCTTCCCAAATAACCACTGCCTTTAGGATAAGATACTTTCCTCATATGCTTGTGCTGAAAGCTGGGGACCTGGTCCAGCTCTGCTTTGGATATGTCATGCTATGATGTTCCACTCCACATTGCCAAAATTGGCTGTCTGAAACAAGACCAAACCAAACACGACTTCAAGAAAAATGCAGAGTTAATTTAAAAGAGAATTACCTCTTATATTCTCTATTACCACACAAGTGGGTTCCTGGCCTCTGTCTTCTGAGGATTCGAGTGGGCACATTATAAGTCTTTAAGTTCAAAAAGATAAAGGAGGGCACATCACAACTTGCAAGCAAGCTCTAGAGAAGGAAAATGGCAAGCTAAAGCCAATGTTGAGTCTGGATGCCAAGCTAAGGTCTCCACAGAGCACTCTACCAATCCAAGAAGCTCATCCGATACACAACATAAGACAGTGACACAGGAACCATGAAGCAAAATGCCAACAGGAAAGATTGCTCTTTTCCTTTGGCAGGGAGAAATTAGGCCTGTTCAGAGAGCAGAAATCAAACCCAGAGATTCATCTTAAAAGCACAGTTAGGGATATGCTCCATGTATGGACATAATGGCTCATTCTTCTGATGGTCACAGAACAGAGCTGTCTCATTCACAAGTGAAGGCTTTTGTGTGATAAATCATCTCAGTGCTCTTAAAGAGTACAAAAATATACAAAACCTTCCATAAACTTCAAAGTATCACAGTAATGATCCTCTGAGGATCCCCAGAGGATTGGACTCCGGGAAACAGTTCTGGTTACATCTAAAGTTTTTGTTTTATCTGAGTTTAATAAAAGACCAAAGGTAATTAATAAAAATGGGTTTTTTTTTTTTGTTAGTTTGAAGATAAATGAAAGTCACTCAACAATTTGTACTGCCATCAATCTTTCTCTGCTCAGGGGATGTCATTATTTAATACTCAGAAAAGTGATCCATAATAGTGGTAGTGATACTATATTCGGAAAAGTAAGGATTTTATTTTTATGTTAGATATAAAGAATTTGCTTAAGCCATATTCTCATTTAATGGTCACACTGAGAAGACCCTCTGTGTGCATGATAGATGGCCCAGACTGTGGTCATCAACCCTAATGAAAGCAAACCTCAGCTTTCCACAGCCAATGTTAAAGTCTAGCAGCAGAAGGCAAATGCAGAATCTCATTGCTGTTTTATGTCTTTCATGTTTGCATCTCTGTTCAGGGCTGTTCATCTCTGTTCTCCACTGTTTAATGCACAAAAGTGTTATGCTGAAATTAAACTGATTTTATCAAGTTGCCAGTTAATTATATATGGATATGCTATTTATTTTATCACCAGCAAGCTGTCAACCTGTAAGATGAGGAAGTGCTGACTCTGCTAATCCCTTTGTCTCCAAGGATTCCCTCCTGTGAGTCTGTTCTTCAGTGATGGCTTCAGACTTGTATAGTTCTTACAAGCATTGGTGGAAAACTGAATATTAGCAAGCCTTACAACACTTGTTTACATTAGCAATTGCAACAGCGAAAAATTTACCATGAGAACAGTAGCCTGCTATGTGCAAAGCTCACATCACCAAGCTCTCATATGTTTATCCTGAAAGTGCGTCTATAATTTACGTGCTTTTCCAGATACATTTCCTGGTACAAAGCTGGTAAATACAATCAACTTAACATCCTAACTGAAGTAAGTGTTGTTTGGAAGGGAATCCCCCATAGTGTGGTTAAGCCTTCTATAAGAGCTGTAGATTCACAACAGGCAATCCCAAGCACTGAGTGCCTTTGATGCAAGAGACAAAGGATAAATTAGAGTGACGAGAAATGTGGAATGCAGCACAACTTCCTTGTTTCCTCTTCCACATCGACACGTGGGCACATGAAAACAGACAACAGCAGAGCATAAACTGGATGACGTTGCCAGAGTATTGTGGGGCCTGTCAACTTGACATTTTATCTAATCATCAGTAATGTGTCTTCCCAGAACATTGGACAGCCCATCTGACTGGATACATGCATGCCAAAGGGAAACTTGTCCACCATGAGTCACTGTGGGAAAACTCAGTGTAAATTTTCCCATGTAAATTATTACTATTAAAACCATCAATTTAGCTCCAAACAAGTTAGTTCCTTGTCAATTTTAAACTTTTTACATCAGAGCTACCAGTGGAAATGAAATAAAGGTTAGTTTATTTTATTATGGTGGTATTCTGTTCTAAGATTAAAGTTTTCATGAAAACTCATTATTTAACTAGATACGTAATATTCTGCGGTCATTTAAGTACGTTATCTAAGTACTGTGAATTTACGTTTTTCATAATGTGTTTTAGAATGAAGACCATTTATTCTCGGCAAGATGTATTTTATTTGCTTTGTTTTTTGTTTTCTTGACTTAAGGCCTCATGTAGCAGGCCAGGTTACCTTCACACTTCATTGTTGAAGATGACCTTGGACTCTCAACCTCCCAAGGGCATTTCAGGGGTGCACCGCCAGCAGCATACTTGAACTAAGTATTTGCCAAATACTTAGTCACCCGCTGAAAATCTGGAGTTAGTCACCTCAATACAGTCATATAGCTACTTTGAATAATCTAAGATAATCTGTCCTAAACCCTACCTTAGAATATATTATCCCAGCAAAGTTCTTAAGTGACTAATCTAATACATTGTGGACACACCACTAAAATGACAGTAGTGAATTTTTTTTTAACAAAAGTCTCACAAACAGGCAAACTATAGTAAGTTCTTAAATTCTTAAATATTGCTACATAGCAAAATTACACTGGCCTCTGTACCATCATCCTGACAGCTGCAATCTTCCTGAAGATGGGTGTGTCCATATTTATACTGATAGTGGTTTAGCTGATTGCTTATGGCATTTTGCCTTGCCCAGAAGGGCAATGCTTACTACAAAATTTCATTTTGAGGGGAAGGCAATATTTCATACTTCAAAGGCCAACAAAATGAAATAATCTCAAAATATATATTGCCTTATGTGCTTCTAATGAATAAGGTGTCAGTTTTATTTTGGCGTATAACAAGCTAAATAATCATCAGCAAGCTAGTTTTTAGATCTCACCTCAATCATTCTGCTCTATGCCAGGCACTGGTTGTTGAAAAGCACTGTCTGTTTTCTGTTCCCTGGCACATTCAGCATACAAGAATCACAGTTCTCAAGAAAATAAACTGGAAATGGCTGTGTCAAATTGGCATTGGCATCTCCAGCCTCCCAGCTGACGATTTTGGGGCCTAATAGCACAAGTGCCAAGGAGAGTTTTATCCTTTTCAACAGAGGCAAGGGGAGAGGGGCATGAAAATGAATCTCAATTAAATGCGAGCTCTGTAGCCTGAACTATCTCATGGATATAGATGCCTGACTAGTGGCTTCGGAAGGTATGCCAAGACATAAACCAGATTAACAATGGCTTTGCAACTTAGTAACAAAAATGGTTCCTCACGTTTGCGAACTGTTCCTTTTTCCTTTTACCGTTTCGATATTTAAGGCTATAAACTGAAATGTAATTTTATTATGAATTACAATGTAATTTAGTACAAAAATCACATCAATTCATGTCTTATGGTCTGCTGATTTCAGAAGTAAGTGCATTAGCTTCAGAGAAGATGCTGCTCCTAGACAAGCACACAGTTTACAGATTCCACACACTGCCTTATCCTTGGCAGTTACTGACCTACATGAAAGACAATGCCATCTCACACACATACCGCAGTTCTCTTCGTCACTGTCGTCATCACAGTCAGCCTGGCCATCACATCTTCTGGAGCCCAGCACGCATCGCCCCGATCGACACTTGAAGTGACTCGGTGAACATTCTGTCAAAAAGCAGTGCTGCTCTGAGTGGACAGAATCCCAAAGGTGTCAGCTAGCATCTGTGTCTCCATGTGGGGTGTTGTGAGTGGACAAGTACTAAAGACAGAAGAACAGGTCTCCACACAGCTGGAGACGCCTGAGCTTCACTTGGCTTTCTTCCTTCTGAGAATCTCCAACCTTCTCCTTCACCCCTGCTACCATCTCCCCAGATCAGCATTTAGCACCTGGGCATTGCTATAACTAAGTACCTTTTTAAATAGACACTTAACAACAGCCTGGGACTTGTTTGTAATCCATGATTCTAACTTCCCAGACATTCTAATCTTTCATTTGATGGACCAGTCCCCTGTAATCTTAATCACAATCCCCTGTGATTAATATTAATTACAGGTTATTTACTTCGTATCCCAGCCGTAGCTCCCTCCCTCATTCCGTCCCAATCCCACCCTCCCTCCCTCATCTCCTCCCTGTCCCTTTCCAAGTCCACTGCTAGGGGAGGTCCTCTTCCCCTTCCATCTGACCCTAGCTTATCAGGTATCCACTTTTCTATTAATAATCCAAAGTGCCTTCTTACGTGGAAGAACCAAGGGCTGGTTTTTACTATTAGCTTCACAGCTCCTAAAACAAACACCATACACAAATAGCCAGCTCTGGAAGGGGAGTATGCACAAAGTGGGAAACACCTGGATGAGTAAGCTTATCTTTGAGTTCATTTTTGTTGCTTAAAGTTATTTAACATGTGATAGGAATGATAACAGGTGCCAGTGCCTTCTAGGGCAATCCACTAGTTTTCAGCATCACTCACCTATGCAGCCTAATTGACAACTAAATAGAAAACCAACAACAGACCTTCCTAACTCAGAGACTGCAGAAAGTAGCTGGCATTTTCATCCATGCTAGATGCCCTACTGGAAATACACTGGAACATTAACCTTCCACATCTTCATTGGGCAGGAGGCAAGTCTGATTATCCGAATTTTCCTCTGGAAATTGATTGCACTCTGTGTCTTCAGGCCACTGGAGGCCTACGATCCCAAGGACAGACTCACAGCGCTCTTTGGAGTGCTCACACAGGAGTCTACAAGCAGAAAGACAACGTGTCAGAAGCTGCACAGCTCCAGAGGAAACGTGTGCTCAGAAGGCATTTCGGTTTTAATCCTACGCAGGACTCTAGGTGTAAGGAGGTGTGTGGAAACATATTGGCACATATATATATAACTGGCACTTAGGAAATCCAACAAGCAAGATTGCTACAAAAAGGACCCAGCTGCTTTCACCAAAATAGATTTCACAGCAAAAAAAGAAAAATCCCCTTCCCTTTGGCTTCCTACTTTTCTGTCTTTTGGGCGAGCGTTCTCGAGCTTTTGTTCCAAGCAGAGGAACGCCCAGCATCACTTCCTACAGTCTGTCGCCGCGGACCACGGGCCTGTTGGAGAGACTCCAGCGGTGTGATCCTCTAATAAGCAGTGGGGGGGGGGGCATGTGCTTTACTGGATTCTCTGAGACTCTGCCTCTGTCTCCCCTTCTCCAGCTCCCATCAATACTGTTCGCTTACTTGTTCTAAAGATAAAACTCAAGTTCTAGTTTGATTTGGAATTTTCAACAAAGACGACTATGGGCCATTCTCCTATTCCATTTGAAAGACATGGTAAGTTCAACATTATTCAGGCACAGCTGGATCAGAGCTTGGCTACAAGTATACAACAAACATACAAGCTCAGCTGTAGCCGTCATCTTAAGGTTACATTGACTATGCCACTTCTGACTTTTACCAGAAAATGGAAGTAGTGCTAACAGCACCACCAAAAGGTCAAAGGTGTTCTTGCCAAAATCTGGGTGGCCCTCAGTGGTAGGCACCTGCCATGATGGTACGTACAGCTTTGGTCAAAGGGGATTTCAGACACAAGACATACCAACCCTCAAACATTTGCCACATGGTGGGGGTGGGAGCTCAGTAAGATTGGTTATCTTTGGGTGTGCAACTTAAAAATTAAATGTTAAGGTTACTAAACAGACTCAGCAGAAACAGCTATGCATTAATTCAAAAGCTTAGGAGCACATTAGTTGGTTATAATTAAATAGATTTATGCATAAATATCAAAACGTTCCCATTGCTGGCACTGAAGTTGCCAACTAAGCTAAGAAACAGAATTAAAGTCACCAAAAGAAGTCTATCAACATGTTCACTGAATAGCATCTCAGAACTATTTGCAACCCAGTCATTTTAAATTATAAAACTTAAACCATGAAACTCAATGTGGGATATACATATATAAGAACAGTAAATTGATGTATTAGGGGAATTTCATGTAGATACCAAAAAAATATCAAACATAGTTGGGGAAGGTAGCAATTTCACTACCATCACTGACCTTGCTTCGCAAAAATAGACTAAGATTTACAAAAGCTTCAATAGGAAATCAGTAGATACCCTGACAATACTTTGAAGGGCACGTAATAAAATTCTCAGTATTGCTTTTGCCCAAGAAAACACTAAATCTTACTTTCCTTGTATGATTTGTTTAGCTGCCTGAGTCATCGTGCAATCTTATTGTTTCCTGCCCTGACTCCAGAGATAGCCCTACTTCATCATCCACTTGATATACAGCCTTAAATTTATTGTTTTCCCATCTGTCCACTCTATTGGTATTCTTTCTTTTTCTTAAAGCTGTGTGCAACTTCTGATCCAACATGTGTTTTCTATAGTTACTGTTCACAGCCAGACAGGCACACCTGTACGGCCACCCTTGATTGCAAGGCAGCATTGCAGAGGGCGGCAGCAATGACTTCTTGGATAGTCATCTCAGCTATGCACACTCTCAGACTACAGCCTCTCACATGTGGCCCAAAAGGGGGACACAGTTGCCACCAAGCAACTGAGCCTATGTGCTATCTTTATAACTACATCAGTCAATATAGGGGCTGTGGCATTTATTTAACTTCACAATCCTTTCTTGAACGCTCACTACAACAAAACTCAACAAACAAAATACTTATATCACCGGAGACTTGCAGTCCAAAGAGACTGAGTAATTTGTCTTAAGGGTACAAAGCAGTTGGAGAGGACTTGAAGCTGACAGTAATCTCTACAGCCATAGTACTGACCCCCAGGATGTTACTGTTCAGACCCAAGGTTCAAGCTCTGCTCCTGAGATGTTGTCTTTCTTTCACTCAGACAGGCAGAAAAAATGTCAGTGACGTACATTCCTGTCACACCTGTGGACGGCTATCCTGTCTCCCTGTGTAGCCCTACTAATTTGTAAGAACATCTTAGATACACTGATGAAGAACACAGTGGAGCAAACACATCAGTGTTTCCAAATAGAGTGGCAGACACAGGCCCTTTCTCGGCTCCCTCACATTCTTCTGCTTTGCTCTGGGGTACTAGTGATCCAACCCAGGACCTCACACATCCTAAAGGATGTGCTGCCACTGAACAGCACCCTATCCCTAACTTATATTCAAAAGGATTCTTTGTGATCCAACAAAATGAAACACAGATAAACACAGACCTGTCATGGAAGGAAGATCACGCCATCCATATTTGGTGCTTGCATGATTTCTTACTCAAATATTCATTTTATTCCTATTTCTCTGTCTTTTGAATCTGCTAACTTTCGGAGTCCCTGGCAATATATATTTGTGTAAACCCAACTTTGTGCTTTGTTGGTGCTCTCTGAGTTAGCATGAGGATAGCACGCATTTACAAATCGAATTACCTGCAAGGGGGGATGCGTTGGCCTGTATTCACATCACACTTTGGGACCAGAATGGTGCAAGCAAAAAACATGAGGTATTTGTAACAATTGGTTTGTACAAGTGCGGGGAAGAGAGATGACTCCCAGCTGATTGACGCTTCCTTTTGAGTCCAGTGGCCAAGGTAATTTGGATAATGTGTATAGTTGTAGGGCAAATTCATACAGAGTTCCAGAGTGATTGGCTCACATTGACCTAACAGAAAAAAAAAAAATCACATACAAATCTGAATATTAGAAACAACCTCTCTAAGTTTCCCACACTCAGAGTCTATTTTCCTTGATTTAGAACACAACTTCTACAACTCTGTGTCCTGGTTATATAACCATGCATGAGGGCTATAAAGTAATTGGCAACATTCAACGGTTTCTGAACATACGATGGCCAAAGCTTAATTCGAAATGAAACAAATAATGAGTCTGAGGTGTTAATGACACTTGCAAATGTTGCATCCCGTGACTTCGCAGCAGCCTTGGTTCTGAACACATGACACTGAGTTCTGCAGTACACATCCGTTACATCCCGTGTGACAGCAACAAGCACTGCATGAGACATAGCACACCAGGGCTCTGGTCCCGGACTGCCCTCTGTTGTGAATTGCATACTACTGTGTACGCTAAGTTTTCAGCTCTGATAAAAACAAGGTGGCTTAACTGCAGGAAGTAAAGACAACATTATTTTCCATCTCTCTTCAGCATGTATGAAATTGGTATGTATTGAGATTGTATAGTATTAGAATGAGTGATTTTTTTTTTAAATGCCAATTGAATAGATGACTTGAATTTTAATGAAAACTTGTTCAGAGAATTCTGTCTTGAGACCAGGACAGCATTCCCCCCAGTTCCTGAAACTTCTTCCAGTTTGTACTGTGTATTTATGTAAATGAAGGCAGCATTCTCAATGTGTGGAGAATTATAAAATTAAGCACGGACCAACTTTGAAAAACATTAACGGTGCCCTATATCTTGTAGTATCAATTGGTTTTTGGTTGGCTGGTTTGCTGCTGTTTGTTTTGGTTTATGCTCTAGCTGAGGTTCCCCAGAAACTCATTATATTGCTTAGGTTGGCCACGAAGCCGAGGGCATTGTTGTGCCTCTGCCTTCTAAGTTCTGGAATTGCAGGTGGGAGGCACAGCACCCAATTTCATTTCAAATATTCAACAAATATTTAATTCTTATGCAAAAACTCTATTTATCTCTTTAGTAAGCAAATTTGTTTTTTTTTTAATCTCTAAAAAAATGATAAAACTATAGTATACCAAAGATTTGTTTTAAAAGAAATCTTTTTATGAGTTGTTACTGGTAAATGTTCAGTTTGTATTCCTAGTTTCCATGCCTAAATACCTGAAGTTGGAATTAAAACAAAAAGGGGTTGTGAGAGAAAAGTTTAAGAAGCCCGGGAACTGAGTAGCAAAAACTAGCCTGCAAGGAGTACATGACATTTGTTTATGGATATCAAAACCAGGGACCCTGCTCTAGAAGAGCCATGACAAACCTGTGTTCATTTCCAGGCATGGCGCAGCCAGTACGGTGGCCAGCACATGCATTAGAAAGCCCTTTCTCATTCAACTTAAAGTTGACTCATCTGTATCTGAAAATGACTCTTTTATCATTCCTGTGTTTGGTTCCCTTTTCTTCTTCTAATTTATTCATTGCCTCTAAAATAGCATAGGCCCATCATCTGCACAAATATTTAAAAGAAAGTCAATGAGGTTTATTAAACGGGCAATTAGACAATTTCTGAGTGTGTGTTTTCTTATTGACCAATGAATTTAAAGATAAGGTGACAATATGTTAGCTTAAGAGCAGACTGTTATCTGTTGGGTGCTTCTAGCTAATGAGGACAAAATTCAAACATGTTAGCATGGAGTCTAAGGATACTTTATTCTTCAACAACAGCCCAGCTTCCTCTCCTATGGCCATAGTAACAACTGATCTTTGCTGTGGTCGGTTCTGTACCACTGATATTTCCAGAAGGCTATGACCTCATGCAGCCTGTTTGTTCCCCTCTTCCCACTTCTTTTCCTGATATCATTCACCCAAATGGGACTGGCTTCAGTTGCCATGTATTTCTAGAACTTGGCACTAGGCATAGCCTTTCTCCACCTTCCTCAGCAAGTTGTCTCTTCTTCAGCATACTGATCTCAGCAAGTGTAATACCACTTCCAGGGGCCTTCCTGACTGAGGGCTCATCCTGTTCTTCCTGACACTTGTAAGGTTGGTTGCCCTCTAGGCATGATGGGCTCATGTTCACTACACCCTGTTGTGGTCCTCCTTGACCTACTTTTGCCTCCTCCACATCACTTCCAGATTTTAAAGAAACGACCTTTATCTCTTGGCCTCAAAGAACGGAGGAAGAAAAAAGAGGGAAAATGTGTCAGGGACTGTTCTAAGCACAGAAAAAGAAAGGCAGTGTCCTTGCCATTTTGGAACTCCACAGTCTCGACAGAAGAGAAGACACGTGCACTGACTGCAGAATGTGTGACCAGACTAGGATAAAGTTTGCACAGACTATGTCCCCCTCAGCCCTAAATTCACAGGCAGGAGCTCTAACCCCTAATGGTACTGCACTTGGAGGTGGGACATAGGAAGGTAGCTAGACTTAGTTACAGTATAAATGACAGGAGAAAACTCACTGTGGAATTAGCATCCTTAAAGCTAGTCATCTTGCTTTTACCACCATTTAAAGACCCAGAAAGACTTCAGCTCTTGGCAAATGGTGAAATAAGCAAACTCTCCCTTGAGATCAAATATGCCAGGACTTTGACTGTGGACTTCCAGCTTCTTGAACTGCGAAGCACACATGTTTGTTGTCTCTGCCTCACAGCCTAAGCTACTCTGTGATGGAAGCCTGAATTTACAAACGTAGTGTTACGAGTTCAAAGGGACAGCACAAGATACCAAGAGCAATTCAAGCCTCTGAGGACAGGTGAGTTTGGGCAGGTTTGAGAGAAGGCAGTAGAGGCTTTCTGTCTCCTTGGAGATCCCAGTAGATATACGATTGACCCTGGGGTAATAGAGTTAATTAGACATGTGTTATAAAATTGACCTAGTCACACTAAACCCATGCCTTATTGTGAGCAATTATTCAAATCATACTCTTTATCTGAAAAGTTCTGTGACACAAATAAATAAGTAATAAAGACTGGGGTGAAATAAGCCTCAATCCTACCTACTAATTTAGAGACTATGAGAGCTATGTGGATATAATAGCCATAAGGAGCCAAGTAGACTAAAGATGTGCTTACGACTCTGTTTCCTGGAGGAGCCAGGACACCAGAGAACTGGCATAGTATTGAGGACAAATACAACATGGAAACACCAGAAGGCAGAAGAAGGTCAGGGTTTTGTCCTCATTGTTTCCTATACTTATAAAGGAAGGGTGTTAAGAACCCTTTGTATTCTCTCAAAGTCATAAGCCTAAGTCCTCACCCCCCAGTGTGATGGTATTGGGGGAAAGGGCCCTTTCATAGTGACTAGGTCATGAGAACAGTCTTTGGGAATTTGATCAGGGGTCTCTGCACATGAGACCCCAAGTAAACCTTCCTCTCTCATCCTGGCATATAGAATACTAAGGGAGGTTGGCCTTCTGCAGTTGAGAAGGGTTCAGTTCTGAGCTATGCTGGCATCCTGGCCTCAAGCTTCCAGACCACAGGACTTTGAGGTATAAATGCCTACAGTTGATGCTACTTAATCTACAGTAATTTATCACAAATGCTCCAAGTAAAGCAAACAGGAACTTTCAAACTTTGTGCTCTGATTCTTAGAAGATTTTCTTTTTTAGCAACAATACAGAAATGCATAACCAGCTCAGTATCTCCAGTTCCTCTTTCTCTCTGCCTCTCCCAGAGTCTTCAGAAGATTTTAGAGCCCCTCCCATGCCTTTCCCTGATCACTTTCATACACACGGGCATTTATAAAGCCAGAGTAGTGTTTGCCTTTGCCAATGAAGAATCACACTGTTTCCCTATTCGTCCTGTTACTTTTGTTACAGGCATCTTCCCTTATTACACATATCTTCAGTTCCAGAGATGTGTGGGCCTCTTTTCCTTCTTCCCTTAATATACTTATAATTTTACAAAATGGCATTGTTCACACAGATGTCCGAGGCAATCCTTCTTGCTCTTATACATCTTTCCTTTCTCTCTCTTCCTTTACCACCCCACTAAGATATAATGTTTTACCAGTGTGCTTCAAATAGGCGGTGAATGGATAATATCACATGGATAATTTCTCTCTGCTTTGACATATGGAGAATGTGCCACTCTTGATTTGTCAAAATGTAACTTTCAACGTTTTACAGCTAAGTGATGATGGAAAGATTACATGATGAGCATGCATTATGCTGAAGGTCTTTACTGAGTGAATTAAGTATTGGTTCTTAAGTCTTGCTTCCTTAAAAGGCATTCTTTACAGATTGCTGAACAAGTTAGACTCTTAGATACTCATCAAATCCAAATTCAGCGGCTTTGACCAATAAGCTTTTCCAGCTTAGGCTGGTACATCGAACTTAATATAAAATAGTCACTAGAGGGCGATCACGTCACAAATGCGATGATGCTTTGTGTAGAACAGATGGTCCAGCTTGCAAGTATTCGGTACAGACACTCACTGGGTCCTGCAGATAAGGTTTAATAAATATCCGTTTTTAAAAGCCTGGTATTCTGACAATGGCATCTCATTTTCAAAGTCTGAAACACGAGCTATTAAATTCCACATAAAAATGGGATTGTGAACTACACATGACGCAGAGCTGTGAAGTCACCGGAAACTGGGTGCTAAATGACAACCATTTATAGGAAAAGATGAAAAGTTCAACATCCAGTCACACTGCCCAGGCATTCATTGTGAAAACTCTAAACCTCTCTTTATCACTGTCATTTATAACAGTCTATGAGCTTTTATAAAGTGCATGTTGTTATAACCACCATCGAGAACAAGTAAGGGAAATTTGGCAAAAATTCACCCCCATCCCCTTATAACCTATCCTATTTCAACCTTCTCCTTTTTCTCCAGAGGAAAAACAAATCTCAGAGTTGTCACTGTCTGGTTTTTCTTTACTTTTACATTCTAGTTCAAGCGTGCCTGTTGTGTTTTGTTCTTTTGTTTTAAACCTTGCCTTTTAATTACCTTAAAATCTTTGGTTTCCCTTTCCTTCTTTTGTTTTTCTTTACAATTCACTGTTGCAAATCCCAGAGATTTGCCCTGTAGAGCACACACAGTACTCTGTGCGGCCGGCACACTCTAACCTCAGCTAAAGAAGAGGCCTGCCTGCCCTGCTTCCTGGACTTTGGCAGCAGAACCAGAAGAGTGGTCCAGGCTTTGTGAGTTTGCCAGAACTGCAAACAGCTGCTGTGTTTTCTCTTCAGCAGCCCCCATGATGTTGGATTCCTCCTTAGTGCCATGTCAACAGCTGTAGATGTTCCGTGCCTCGATTCATTAATTAATTGTGTCACCCAGGAATACTATGTCAATTAATCATCCACTTCTCACCTGGCAGGTGGGGAGACTTGTAGAAAGACATCATTCTTCCTATCTACTATTGCTACCAAAAAATGAAGTCTTTAACTGTTTTGATGTTTTGCTTCTTGATTACAGCCCCATACTATTTATTTCTTCCAATTGGAGTTTGCAAAGAGTAGACCAGAAACTGTAGATGAGAAGGAAGCTATCTGGGGCAAAATTATTCACCCCTTCCTCTTCCTCAATGTTCAGTAAGAGCCTTAGGAAGTGGCTTAAGAGAATAGGTGATTTGCCATATTAAAGTAAACACAGACAGAGCATTGGGAGCCCAGGAAAATGCACAGGGGCATGACAGCCACACGAGGCTTCCTGGGGTCTTGATGAACATGGGCACAAAGAGGAAGAGACAACCATGGGGATTACTCTCTTCATCTGGTTTCCCCGGTTGCCTGGGTTATAGTCTATGAGATTAAAAAAAAAAAAAAAAAGAAAAAAAAGAAAAAAAAGTGATAAATTGGTTTCTCTGTGCTATTAGAACTTCACTTCTACTCCTGGCCCTAATGTGAGGTTATGTCTGCAATTTGCTCCCTGCAAGGCATGGAGATGTCAGGATGTCAGGTGGGCACTGGACAGAGTAATATGAAAACTTCCCACATCCAATGTCCAAGGAGGCACAAATTCATGTAGCCAAGTCACAAACAGACCTCAAGAGCAGTGTTTGTCAACTGTGGCTTTTCACAGGAGTCCGCAAGGACATCGAAATTATCCTGAGACCCAAGTCCTACCCAACACATCTTCAGAGACCACTGAATAGCTGTGCAATTTTTATGAGATGGCAAGAACTGGTGTCTTCCGAGACTGAACTGCAAGAAGGTTTGGTGAAATGTTGGTTCTGCCAGATGACTTTAAACTTTCTTCACTTACAATGTCAAGGGCATCAAAACAAACATTGTGCTGTTCACTTGTGCTGAATAACCAGATAGTAATAAATTCTGCCCTCTCTGTGTCTATCTATTCATTCATTTCCCTTCACATTCTAAAGTTTAATTTTGCACTGAAGAAGAGACAGAAATGTGAGTGGTACATGCCTTTAGTCCTAGAACTCAGGAGACAAAGGCCAGCAGATCTCCAGTAGTTCAAGGCCAGCAAGATTTACATAGAGAGTTCCAGGCTAGCTGAGGATACATAGTGAGACCCTGTCACAAAAGAGGGGGCAGGGAGTAGGAAGAGCTGGGCAGCTTTCCTGCAATAACTTCCTTCGCACCTGTTACTTCCTGTTCTCTCTTTGCAAGCTCCAACAGGAAGAAACAAACACCATGGGGGTGAGGGGTTAAGAAGCTAAACAGCATGGATGCTGCTGATGTTAAGCATCATTAAATAATCACATTTCCATGTGCGTGAACTGTTGGTATAATGTTCTTTTAAAATGTATATGCCTTCCCCTTGTTAATTCAAATGCTGATTTCCCACCCCCAACTCTCTGGTTTCAATCTGGATAGTGCATCCTGATACTCACTATAAGCATCCTGTCTCAACTCTTGTGTAAACAGGACACAAATAAAGCAACTAGATACAATGTTGTGCAATGGGAAGAGCCAAAGGACAGGAAAGAAGGGAGGAGCCAGAAAGCAGGAGAGGGTGGGAGGAGAAGGAGGAGGAGCTCGAGGACAGCAGAGCATGGGGAGAACAGAGCTGGAGGAGAACTTGGAGGACTTGGAGCATGAACCAGACCTAAGATTTCACAAAAAGCAAGTTTAATGTGGGAAATCTAAATGTTAGGAAACTGAGGGCTTGGAGGTTTAGGAGGGAGTAAATATTGCCCAACATTGTGTTCTAGGTTAACTAAAATCCCAGTCTCTGTGTGGTGATTTGGTTATACAGCTGTTTAAGATTAGCAGCAAGCTTTACAAGAAGATAAACCAATAGTAAATATTAATAACCACCTACAACGGTGAACAAATTTACAAGAGGATATGCTACTTATCCACCCGCACAGAGAACCAAACATACGCAATCCACCCAGAGGCTCCTTGGGAGCTAGCTGGAAGTCAGGGACAGATAGCGCTTTCAATAATGGCAGGACCAACGCATAACACAGTGTCTAACAATCAGAAGATACGCGCTTCCGGTGTTTGCTGTATATGGAAAGGAGTTAGTGGAGATGTACATGGAGAAGCTAGGGAAAGGGAATGTTGAAAGGATATGAAAAGAATGACATGGTAAATGTGAGCGGGGAGACCACAGGGTGTCCTCCGTACTAAAAGCTACCTCCGGTAAGCTAGGAACACGACTTCTTTCTTCTCCCTTAAAGAGGACAGTGCCCATTCTGGTGCCCGGAACCTTGCATATTCATTGCAAGCTCTGCTTAATGTATAAGCCAGAGGTAGATGTTTGCCCTTCCTATGCCTCTTTTTTTTTCTTGTAAGTTGCCACTAAACTCTAAATTTTCAGTTATTGAAAAATTTTGAGATTTTTTATTTATTAACATTTAGTATGTATGGATGTTCTGTCTGCCTGTAAGTCTGGGCACCATGTGCAGGCAGGGCCCACGGAGGCCAGAGAAGGTCTTGGATCCCCCTGGACTTGGGTTACAGATGTGGGTGAACCACCGTGTAGGACCTGGGAATCGAATCCACGTGTCCTGGAAGAGAAGCCAGTGCTTTTAATCCTCAAGTTTTTCTATTTTGAAGTGTTTCAGATGTAGAGAAAATAGAAGAGCATATTCAGCTTCTCCCTTTCCCAAAGGTGGCACAGCTGACAGTTCCCTGTCTACATATTTAGTCTAACAGTGTCATTCCATGTCAAACAACATGGAGAATTTTAACACTAATAAGCACACGTCTTTGACATGACTGTCATACTTCAAAATTATTCATTCAAAAATTGAAAATGAAATAAAAATAAGTCATTCTTTAAGTAAGATCCCAGATCTGATTGTGACATAATAAGGAAAACAAAATGATGGGATCGATAGACCCATAACACATTCAGATATACGTTTATCTGCAAATAAAAACACACCTGATATGCCTGGCTGAGAGAGTAAAGTGCCCTGGCCAGGGCACCTTCTTTCATTTTTATTTTATTTTATTATTTAAAAATTGTTTTGAAGACAATGCTCATGTAGCTCAGACTCGCCTCCTATTCACCAAGTAGCTAAGGACGACCTTGAACTTCTAATATTATTGCCACTGCCTAGGAAGTCCTGGGATTATGAACGTGCAGGAACATGGGGGCTAAAGATTGATCCCTGGGCTTTGTGCATGCTAGGCAAGTACTCGACAGTCTGAATTGTGTCCTCTGCTCCTGCTGGTGCATCTTCTTAGTGACCAGACTAATATCTACTGTTCTTTCATATAGTGCCATAGTTTGTCTGCACTGAAATCATGTAGCTTATTTCCATTGTGAGGTATTAAGAGTGATGAGTTTTAATCGATCCAAGATCCGTAGAAGTGGCGCTTAAAAGAGTGATAGGAACAGCAGGGTTGAGCCCAGGGCTGGGCACCTAGGGCTTTGCTGAGAGAGGGGAAGTCCCTTTTATGCCTTCATGGGATGGCCTATGCCTGATTTTCTAGCAGTAAAAAAGGATATGACCATATGGGGCTCTTCAAAATTGAAGCAGAACTATAAACAAAATAAACTTTTCTTGTTAATGGCCTAGTCTGTGGTCTTGCGTCATTAGCAACAGCAGGATGGACTAATACAATAGATAAGAGAAGCTGTCCTCTTGTATGAGAACTACAGAGACACGAGAGTTTTGCTTTCAGCCAAATAGTTTCTTAGAATCCATGAGCACTGACATACTGATATAATGCACCTCAAATGTTACAAGGCCACTGAAAGTCCATGGCCCCTAGTCTACTGGCCTCAAAGCGTCCGACAGCCACATGACGTAAAGTAACTCTCTCTTGACATCTGAAATCTGACTGATGGTCTAAGTTTTTAACCCCAAGCTGAAGATGGAACAAACGTTAATTACTTCAGGAGAAAAAAGTGAGCATGCTCTAATAACCGAGTCTGGCAGGAATAAATGATTTCTAAGAATCAGTCTTTGGAAATGTCCTAATTCAGTTCAGATTTCCCACAGGAGTTGATTTGATAGTCTTCACTCTTGCCCATTTTGACTTCCCTCAGCTAATCTTTCCTGAAAACTAACTTAGAGACAGACAGCCACCTGCTTTTTCCACCGGAGCCACCTCACCGTCAATGAAACAGATTTAACACAACGATTCCTAGATCATTATAGTTCGACCTGTCTGGAATGGTGAGAATGCTTCTACTAAAGAATGGACTGACCAAATTTCTGCAGCTGTTTCGGGGGGGGGGGATTTCCTATCTGCTTCTGGGATGAGGTCTCCAGTTTGGAGCTGTGCTTTCAAAAAAGAAGAAAGCTAACATCTGCCTGCAGATGGAGCCACAGACATAATTTATAGGAGCTGATGTTGAGTAGAAAGCAGTGGTAATGACACCAAGCAATGTGGATTGATGGCCAGCCCACAACCACACATTTGTTTCTTATTTAGCTAATGAAGACCATTTTGGTTCTTTTCTGCTACCACATGCAACCTTTGGACCAAAGAAAAAGCAAACATATATACTTTTTTTTTTTTTTTTTGGAGAGATTCCAAACTTGAGGAGCTCACAGCAGTGCGCTAATAAGAGGCTGGATGTTCTGTCTGTTGGAGATGGCTCATGTCAGCTGTTGTACTTACTACAGTTGCTTGGGCTGCTGTCCGAGTCGCATGGAGAGGCACCAGCACAGGAATCGAGGCAGGAACTGTCGAGGCACCCCTGATCTCCTTCTGGACATGGTGTCTGACCTGTGGAAGGGGAAAAGCCCGAGAGCTTTCATCACCTGCCAATCTCTGGCCCTCTGTCTGAAGGAGTAAAAATGTCTGCTGGAGTTGTCAGGCGACAGAACTTTAATTTCCTTCCAATCTTGCTCCGAATATCGAACACATATGGAATAGGTATGTTCTGGATTCATCCTCCCACCAACTAAGCACAGCCCAGTCTCCAAAAGAATTCTGTGCAAATGAACAAAAAAGAGGCGAACCACACTAAAGGGAAAAACTGACGGTTGCTTTTGCTTATAATGGGGAAAAGCGTATTGTTTTTACACAGGTGCCTATACTTTACAAAATAAAATGCAGGTGATGTGAAGTCAAGAGGGTTATACAAAGAGGTTCACATTCTGGTTTGTGAGTGACATCTGAAACTCCAACTCTCCAGTTTAAGAAAAATATTTGCCCTGGCAATCAACAGGGCATCGACACGAACGCCCCATTTCAAGGGTCCTATATCGGAATGCAAGCCTTTCCCAGCTGCTACCCAGACTTTTAGTATCCCTGGAAAGTATCATTAGCCAAGCTCTGACGACCTAACATCATCGTGGTTTCTTCTTTCCAAATGAATGGCAGCAGCCTTTTCTCTGATGGCTTTTCCTTAAGGTAGGTGGAGAGGAAACTGCCTTTGTCGTTGATTTCCTGGCCATTTGTAGATTAAGTAGATAAAGTAATAAATTGCTACCCGTTCTCTTTCCATCTCTCCCCCACAGTTATGCTCACTTACTTCCAGACATGTCATCTGGAGTCTAGAATATCCTGCAAGGCACCCTGAGTATAAATAGCCTCACATGCACGTATATAATCGTGCTTATCCATATCTCTAAGGCAACGTGTGCTATACCAGAATCCTCCTTCCAGCCCTGCTAGTGTGAAATGTTAAGTATCATCACCTTGCCTAAAAGATGTCACTGTTGTCAGGTAAAGGCATCAGGTTTGTTTGGTTTTGTTTTTTTTTTTCCATCCCTCAAGGCAACCCTAAACATTTTTCATAAGCGTAAGCTCTTTGTGACATTTTAGGACATCACATATTCAACAGTTAGGCAAATATTAAGTGCCTGCTTTGTGGCAAGTCTATGCAACAAGCCAGGAACTGAATGCTGAAAGACAAAAAAGGGCACGGCCTCTGTGCAGCTTCTCTGACATGGATGGCATGAGGAGCAACACCACATGAGGCTGTGAAAGCCTGGCTCTACTGGAGGTGTTTATCAAGAACAGTTGAAGCAGGCTAGGTCAGGGGGCCAAAGCTACCCTAGGAAGTGTTCCAGGCCGATGGGATATGTTGTCCTGAGAAGGAGAGAAGGGCTTTCTGAGGAGAAAAAGTGACAGGAAAAGGCCTGTAGAAAAACTCACAGCAAGGCCTTCACTCGGCATGTAGCCGAAACACACCTCCTGCCTCCTGTTTCAAGACCATCGTTCATGCGGTGCTGTGTGGGGGTCTGCCGTGCTCCTCTGAGCTCGCCTCTTCCTAGAGAGCACTGCTCGCTCTTCAGCTTGACGCTCTAGTATGTCTCCGTCATAAGGCACTCCTTGCCAAGTGGGCACAACACACACAGAAGCACGGCACCCTGGATTCTTTGCAGCCTGGGCTACTTGGTTGGATATCAGCCGTAGGCCTATTCATCTCACGAGACTACGAGCTCTATCGGTTGTTTGGTTAGACCAAGTTTGCAGGAGAAAAATGACCCCGTATTAGCCTGGCAACAATATGCAATATTTTCTTAGCTCTACCCAGGCACTCGCCCCGCACGGCACGTATTGTCGTCGGAGCTGATGCAAAAACTGTGACCTAGAAAGGTGGTGTGACTCACTTACAGCCACCCGGACAGCAAGGAGAAGAAGCACGGGGCTTGAAGCTTGGCACCAACGTATGAACTGATATGGGGTTTATTAAGTTTGGAAAGCTTCCATCAGCCCCACGCTGGGAGGTTTTCATACAAAAAAAGGTCTTAAAATAACCAGTGTGGAACTTGCCTTTTTTTTTTTTTTAACAGAAAAGATCACGTTTAAAACCCAACATGCTTAATTTCCTTTTTCTGTTTAAGTTCCATACACAGATATTATGTTCTTTTTAAAGTATATTTAAATCTGTTGCTCGGCAAATGTGAAACATTAAACTGCTTATATGAACACGACCAAATTAGGATGCAGTTACATTTAATTTCATGAGCCAATTCTTTCGATTTGGAATCTAATCACATTTAACCGCATGCTACAGGCTGAAGTTTTCTCGTTATTAAGCCTAATAAAGAGAAGGCTCCACAGAGGTCTCTATAGAATCTGACTATGTGGCTTCATCTCTAGCCTGCATCCTCAGGAAGGAATTTCTAACCTGTGCTGCTTAGGCATTACATGTTTACGGAGGAGAATGGTGACTAGAGAATCGGAAATTATCTGTACGGAAATCCTGCTTAAGCAACCTGCAGAGGTTCTGTTTTGTTTCCCAAAGAAGGATCTACCAGTACAAGCACGCTGTGGTGGCTGGGGACGCTGGGGGACACTCACTGTCACTGCAGTGTTCCTCGTCACTCCCGTCCTTGCAGTCTTCATCTCCATCACACTGGAAGGTGCCAGGGATGCACTGCCCACTTCTGCATTCCACCAGGCCCTGGCTGTGACAAGCTGGGGAAGGCCAGGAGACCGGTCATCCTGCTCCTGACTCCTCTTACTCTTCATGCAAGTGATGCTGATTTATCAGGTGTCACTGACAAAGGACACGTTGTACACACACAAAGGGGCGCAGCACTCCAGGAATTTTTGGAATGGAGGGTTTTCTTTCTTTCGAGAACTTTCTCTTCATTATAAAAGAGTGCTTATTAAGAACTAGGTGCTTTTCAGTGATACTGGCAATGATAAAAAATGCAGTTTATAAGGGGTGTATTTTGTGGCAAGAACTGTGGTAGATGAGGCAAGTGTATAAAGCTCAGATCCTTGTAAACAGACGTTACAGCCCTTGTTGTACAAATGAAGGAACTGAAGTTGAGAGAACACAACACCCATTTCTAAGTCACATGGCTGCTGGGGGGGGGGGCAGAGGAAGAACATGAAAACAGCTTTGTCTGTAGCTACACTCAAACCTTCCCAATCTAATGAGCCAATGAAATAATGTGTTTGAAAGAACTCCAATAGGACTACTTTACTGTCTAGCTTATTTTTGACTGTTATTTGAAAGGAGGGTGTCTGATTACCTTTAGCTTTCTGATTCTTGTGATTTCTCAAAATTGTATACTTCCTGTGTTTGAAAGCCTAAGACACCCATGTGTCACGTGACCTCAGGCTTCATTGAATTGCCATCTAATGTTAATACCCACTTCTTGACTCAAGGCTGCTCAGCAGATGTGTTTTATTTGGCCATCATGGCCTTGCTCTCCCCAGTACTCTGATACAGCCATTCCATCCCATTGGCTTACAAAGCAAGGACCTCAAATTAAATAGGAAAAGAGAAGAGAAAGCCAGGTATCATGTTTATGAAACTTTTTATACAGCTTTCTTTTATGTCAAAATATAAACTATGTTATCTACACTTCTATTTTTGCCTCAAAGTATAAGGCAAGTAAATATCCAACTTCATATACAACATCTATGAGGTCTGAGCTTACAGATTCAGCTAATGACAAATCAAAACTACTGGGGCAAACATTCATGCTGAACATGCACAGCATATTTTCCGTATTATTATCTCTTATGTAATTCAGTGTAACAACTGTTTATAGAGCTTTCACATTGTATTGTGTATTGTAAGTGAACTAGAGATGACTTCAAGTACCCAGGAGAAGTGAGTCGATTTAACACAAGTACGCATGCCTTTCCATTGCACGCACCGGAGCATCCTGAGATGGCATCCTGTCATCAATGCAGACACCACAGTGAAACAGTGTACCAACTCTTTCCGCTAAGTGAGCTAAAGGGTGTACTTCAGTGATGTGAGATACATCATTTAATCATTTCAAGTCAGGTTGTACTATTTCAACATGTAGCTGTTACTATTAACTATTTTTTTTTCATTTCTGTCTTCTGAGGGATAGCATGTTTTCCAAGAGGAAAGAAAAATGTGGTTAGCCATCATACTTGTCATGGGTTGATGTGAAAACAAGTTCTCATTCATCTAGAAACATAGCCTGCTATAAAATGGTAATTACTATCACACACTTTCTGAGTTACTATAGGATCATAACCTGCTCCCTTCTCTCTGGCACTTCCCCTGTGGACTCCCACAAATGGCCCCTGAGAACATGCTTGGAGGCTCAGCTGCTCATATATAACTTGCAAAGAAAGGGGGGGTGGATCTCCGTGGTGTCTGGGAAGAGAATTGATTGCTCTTAGAAAAGTCATAGATAGATGAGGGATACATGGGCAGCAAGAGAAAAAGCAGACAGTGCTGGGCCATATCAGCCATTTTTTCAGCTTGGACGGTGGAAAAGAGGGGCTTGAAGTCAGAGCTATCCTGTTACTAGCTATCCTGTTCTAACATCTCTTGAATGCTGTATTTGTAGACAGAAGACAGAATCAGACAGAACCAAGGCTCACGAGTCCTGAGTGCAGTTAACATAATGGACTTTGATTTCATTACGATCTAAACAAGCAAAATGAGCCACCCTGGGGGAACTCACAGCAGTTGACCTCGTCAGATTTGTCCACGCAGTCATGGTCCCCATCACACACCCACTCGGCCACAATACAACGCCCGTCTCCACAGCGGTGCTCTTTTGTAGGATTGCAATCTGGAGAAAAGAAAAGAAATCAGGAAGAGGAGACAGAGCATGGGAAACACTTAAGACCTGTGCTGCTCACAGTCCAGCTGAAGAGACTCTCCTCTCATTCCAGTTCCATCACTAATGCGCCTAGGATGGATCCGGCCAAGTTCAAATGCTACCTTCCCGCATGCCCAATCCTCACTGTATGCAAAGACTCATCCGTTTCTGAGGACAGGTTTTCCAACTATTGCCATGTCTTGTTTCCTTCATTAAGAAAAGAATCTACTACTTTTACACTGGGTTAAGTGAACTGAATAAGCTTTGAGCTTTGGAATGCAAACAAGATGTGTCCGTAGCAAGTCTGCTGTGTTCCTAAAAATTACAACATCTCCTGGCAAGGTGGAAAGATGAGAGTTTTCTTATGGCATCCGTCCTGATGCTAAGCCTAGGTTTTCTACTGGATTATCTTAATCTATAGCTCATGTTTGAAAGAACTGTTAAGCAAGAACAGAAAACCACTATGACTGTTTTTATGATTTCTTTGCATCTGGATACATACATACTCTACCCCAATCCACACATTCTTAGAATTCAGCAAGTGGGAAGTAGAGGATTTTACTAAGTGACAAGTTTCTTCTCTTAAAAAGAAGAATTCATAGACAGTTTTGTTCTGAGGGATGTTGTGACATAACAGCTCTATGGGAGATACAGATTCACAAATAGCAGAAGCAATAATGAGAAAGTCTTATGTGTCTCCATGAAGGTGACCATTGTCATGGTCTCCTGAACAACAATGGACCATAAGGTGTATTTTAGAGAAATAAAACAGAGACCCTGGAAGGTATGTTGTAGAGAAAAGAAGTAAACACAGAGAGGATACTTGGACAGGAACCAGAAGATCCATTCATGCTCAGCCCACCAAAGACAGAGAACAGGGCAGAGGGAAGACTATGCTTTCTGCTATGTAATGAAGACATCTTGAAACCACAGACTTTGTGACTTCTGCTCATCTTAAGAGGTCTTTGGTACTAACAATCCTTTTTTTTTTTTACACATGAACTACCCACTAACGTGCCCAGCTTCTAAACTGGTCCTACTGTGGCACTTTCCCAACTGCCCTTTTCCCTTACTTCATTGAAAAAGGGAGGGGTGTTGATTAGATGAACTGTAAGGATTCTTCACACTAGATTCTGTGATGAATAGGATTACAATTCTCTTCCTCCTTTATCCTGAATAGGGACAGCCCCACATATATCTAATCACTATTGAGTGGTTTGTACACCTAGAGTTTTCAATATTTTACGGATTCAGTGAAGAGAAGTTAGACCACACTCCTAAAAACTACCAAATATCCCAGCTTGGTGCTATTTTCTGAAGATCTCCACTCCCAGACTGTCTTTGCCTCACACTCCAATCCTTTCCAGCATCCATTTAGATAGTCTCTAATGTCGACCATTGTCCAACATTTGTCTTCATTCCAGCTTTCCCTTTGGTACACATTGCAAAGATCGTGCTGTCAATAATATATTGCCCAGAAATGTAAAACTAATCACAAAGCAATAAAGATCAAAAAGCAAGAGTTATTTTGCTGGCTTAGATTCAAAAGATGTGATGCAGAATTGAATATGCTCCTTAACAGGAAGGCTTGTGTTTGGAAAGACAAGAAATAAGAAATCAGCATTTGCACATAAAGCCAATCTGTCATCCTAACCCCTGGTAAACACACCATGCAAGGAGTCACTCCAGTGTCTGAAATTCAGATGCTGGGGAGGGTGGGATTCTTTGGTCACATGATAATACTTTATAATATATGTCTCAGCAAAGTTTTGGTCAGGAGCTCAAAATCTGAACATGGAACAGCCCCAGCCAGAGGAAAAACAGAACAGGACACAGAAAAACACTAGCACTTTGCCTGCTTCACTCTTTCCACTCTGCTTCCTTAGCATGCCCTTAGAGTGACTGCTAGGTGAGGAGTAGAATGCTCATCATAAGGCAGGCTGAGACCAGTGTCTGGACAAACTCTTCTTTCTCAAAGAGGAGGAGGGTTGTTGTTTATCTCGTTTCGCAACCAAAGTTGTTTAGTAAAGAGACAGATACGTGTCCTTGGTCATAAATAATCAGATCCTTTGAGGGATCAATGCTACTTACCACAGTTTTGCTCATCGCTCAGGTCCCCACAGTCGTCATACCCGTCGCACACAAGGCTGCGGTTGAGGCACTTGCCTGTGTGACAGTGAAACAGATCCTCGCTGCAGTCTGCAAACAAGGGAAGTGGTAGACATGTCATCGGGGCAGCACTCTACAATAGTATCTAGTTGGACAAAGGCCAGGAGGGGAGAGGAAGCTTGGTGTTGTCCCGATTCGATTCATGCCTATTGTCTTGTAGGAAAGGAGTCGGAGACGCTCAACTGCAGAATCACTGAAGGACCAGGGCCAGGCCACTGACTCCCAAGTCAAGTACTCTTATCCCTTTCCAAAAGTCTATTTGCCTTCTACGTTACATTGCCTGAAAGGTCTTTGGCAATCAAAGATGAGAAAAAAGACCTGCCTGGGTCACCACAGTAGGTAATGTAGTCTGTGTTTATCTGGAATGGATGGCTTAGGTGGAAGATGTGTAGCTTTTTCTAAACACACCTCCTTTACAGGGAAAATCTGGGTTGGTATGATCACGGTGACGCGGCACGCCATCTACACTGCAGTGCTGTCATTTCCTTCCACACAAACATCACTGCTCCTGTTACTGGGTGTTTCATACTGCAGTCCTCAGGTAAGCAAGCACTTCCCCAAGATTATGGTGACAATATGAGGGTAAGTGATATGTAAAACTTAGCAAAGTTATGGTTAATGTGGAAATAAACTACATGCAGGGAAAGGATTCTGTGAGTGAGAATTTCTGGAACAATGCTATGACTAGAAAGGCTGGTTGACTTTGATTAGAGTTCAATGATATGGGGAAATTGAATGTTGCAAGCCCAGAGCCATCTTTATCATCATGAAGATACTTATTGCCACAGCCAGTTCCAATGATACCGGATAAGCTAAGGTCAGATGGAAGGGGAGGAGGACCTCCCCTATCCATGGACTTGGAGAGGGGCATAGGAGGAGATGAGAGAAGGAAGGTATGATTGGGAGAAGAGGAAGGAAGAGACTACAGCTGGGATACAAAGTGAATAAACTGTAATTAATATAAAAATTAATTTAAAACGATACTTATTGCCCCCTTCTTTGTGTGACCTACAATCTGGATGACCTTTTGGAATGTTTAAACAGACCATCAGTTTCCACCAACCAAAAGGCTAAGAATGCAGCCAGTTAGCACCTGAGGCCTGTACATGAGATTTCCCTGCTCTTGTGTAACCCACCAACATGAAGCATTTGAAGTGTCTTGACTTACAGTTTTTATTGTTTTGTTGCTATAAAACTTCATGGAACTGCTACCATGTTGGAAACCGGTACTTGGAAAAGTTGAATCTGTGTTCCTGGGCCATTGTCACTCCTATTTGGCTCCAGAAAAAAAAATCTCTTGTGTTCCTTTGAGATGAGAGCAGTTTCCTTTGCTGACAGTTTATCAGTAGTATGAGGAACATAGGATTTGTCCTTGGGTGGGACTCTTGTGTTAGTTCTGATGTCTACTACCTGTGGAACTACTAGGGTATTCAGCTCTACCAGACTCTAAAGTCGGTGTCTGAAATTAGAATAAAATAATAATAAATAATGTTTTGGAGAAAGTTTAACAAAAATGAAATGTACAAGATGCCAAGCCAGTTTAATGAGAAAAAGGATAGTCAGGTCAAATCTGGTATTTGGATATTAAATACCAATGTGTAGATTATGAACTCTAACTTCCAGCTCAAATCATATGTAAATATTAACTAAAAATAAATTACATACCTAAATGTATGAGTAAATATCACAAAATCTCTAAAAGAAAATATAAGAAGAAAGTCTTTGTGACTTAGATTAGGCAAATAATTCTTAGATAAGACATCAAACGTATAAACTATTCAAGATATCATTGACAAAATGAAAAGACAAACAAAAGTGCAGAAAAGTATCTGGAAAACAAACTTAAGTTTCACATCCAGCATGCACATGTGCTGATAAGCACAAACACACACACACACACACACTATGTAACAATCCAATTGCAGGTGGAAGACTTGAATAAAAAGCCTTTTTGAAGATACACAAATGGCCAATAAGTACGTAAAAGGTGTTCAACATTCCTAGCTGTTAAAGAAAGGCAATCTGGACCACAAAAAATTCTCTTATACATTCAATTCCTAGAACCAAGAAAGCAAAAAAAAAAAAAAAAAAAAAAAAAAAAAAAAAAAAAA